GCTTACATATATTGATATTCTTGAAATTAGTGTTATCAGTTTAAAATAGACTATATCAATTTCTCTATTAGCAGATGTTCCTTAAAAACAAAATAATAATGATGTCTGTGAGTCTAATGTTCAATAGTGTTCAATATAGCCTATTAGCCTTTCTTCAAGATTAGGTGGGAAGGATTTTTCTGAAATCTTCTGTATTTCCAAAATTTTTCCCTCTTCTTGATTACCTTAATCTTGACTTCTTCATTCAACATCTCATTTAAGAAAACATTTGGGGATAAAGGAAGATTTAGTAGAGTTCAGAGACTGATGATGTACCTTTGTTTTTCTCATATGCATGATATTGAGGGGAATCTTACATATTTTAAGTAGTTACCATATTCCGCAGTAGATAGACACATAGTCTTCTAGATCATCACATTTAATGCCACAGTTTCATGAAACCCCACCCTTTTCATGTTGTAATTTTCCATACTGGTGTTACCTTCCAGTTTCATACCTTCTGCTTCAGTTAGGCATACATTTTAACTCTTTACTCTTTGAACATAGTTTTCCCTGTATTGCTTATTGTCATAATGTCCATAAGGAATATCACTGGATGATATTTGCCTTTGAGTCTCTTGTGCTTAACAACATATCTGACACCAAGTGATTGTTTAAAATTTTTTCTGATGCATATTCTTTAAAGACAAACATTGTTATACTATAAATTAACGATCAAACTCAAGATCACAAAAATTGTCCTTTGGTAAAACCTGCTCTGTAAATAAATGTGTATTTTTAAAAAAAGATTTTGATCAAAATCAGTAAGAAAGAACAAGAACTTGTATAAAATATATATTAAGTATAATAAAAATACATTAAAAGTTCCCCAGAATTTCCAAGTGATAAAATGAACTGTCAAGAGAATCCTTCATGGTCATTAAAAAAGTGAAAACTAAAATTGAAATAACAAGTGATAATAATGAATGCAAGTGTTATAGAACTCACGTAAATACAACAGGCATACCTCACCTCTCTGCTCAAGTATTTTTACATGACCAGATTTTGCTCCAATACTTTATTTCTCTTAATAGGCATGCTGTTAACCTATTTAGGGATCAGAGAATAGGCAATAGGAATAAAGAGTGAGTCTTCATCTTTGTAATGCTCTCAAAAGACCTTAATCAACAACTATTGATTTTAAGTCTAGTGGGAGGTCAGCCACAGTCATGTACATTAATATTTATTAAAAGTTGTAGGTGAGGTATAATAAAAATTAAATTTTCTTTTTATCTGCATTTAGATGGCAAGGAAATGATGCTGTAAAAGCACCAATAATTGATTCCAGGTATTTTCTTTACTTTATCTTGGCAGGCTTTTCAGGTGCTGACTTGTGAGTGAATTCAGAAGTGATGTTTTACACGAATCAGACCGGAGAACAGGGGGCTCCGATAGTTTTATCACAAAATCAGAATTAAGGGACAAGCAGTTATCTACATAGCAGTAGCAATGCAATCTTAAATTCTCCATAATCTGTTTTTATTTTTTTCTTCTTCTTCCATACAGGATATTAAACTTACAGAAGACTAGTAAAGGTGATAAGAGGGAACTTGGTATGACTCCACACATTTAGGAATCTTAAATAACTCAAAGATGGAGAAGTCAACTGAGAGGAGTCCATTCAAATTCAACAAAGGCTGATTTTATCTGTTGAATTGGATGTTTGCAAAATGATGTAAAGGGAAGGAAGGCAGGAAGGAAGAAAAAGAATAATGAAAGACATTTTTAATCTTTCAGTTTTTATATTTCAAATACTCCTACATTTTTAACATCTCAATATCTATAAGCTAGGTTATTGCTGGGGCAAAAGGCTGAAGTTCTATGGCAGACAGTGCTGTGTAAAAAACTAAAGGTTATCACTTGCTGGCCAAGCCCATGATGATGTTCATTGAGTATTGTGGCAATGGAGGGGCAACCTGCAAAACCATATATCTGAAAGTTCAGATCCTTCTTATATTTTAGAGACCAGGAAGAAATTCAGACTTTGCCCCTGTCATCTCTTTGACCCACAGAGTTCACTGCAGGGAATTATTCTCGCACAAAGCAATAGGAAGTTAGAATACATGGCAGCGTAAAAAAGTACAACAGAAAGGAGACAATGCTCCTGATCAAGATAAAGTAGATGTACAGTATTCTGTAGTTTGCCTTAATATTAATTTTCATTTACATAGTTATGCTCTTCCAAAGCATTTTCACAGGTCATTGGAAATCCACAGCAGTTATCTCCAAGTTGTAGGTTGCTGAATAATATCCTATTTGTTGTGATAGGCCCTTAACACAGTGACAGTCATATTTCAAGAAACTATTGCTAGTGAGTATTCACTGATCTTTAAGGAACTTGGAAACAAAAGGTTTGGACAAAAAAGGATTTCAGGACCAGGAGGGAATAGAAACAGGGACATGGCTTGCCTTTGAGAAATCTTGAGTAGTACTAGACAGCAAATGCAACTATAGGACACGACAAAATATGAACTGATCAATATCATTATCAATCCAAAGAGGTGCAGAATGAATATTCAAACCTGGATGTCAGATATATCAGCATCAGTTACATGCCTTTAAACAATCATGCGTTTATAATAGAGACCATCCACCTGTTTAACCACATCCATTTTTCTTTTTGTATTCCTAGATACATAGCTAGACCACAATCCTAGAATCACCACTAAATAGGTGACGATAAGGTTCAATATCATTATCTTGTAGTATTATATGAACAAGAAAAAGTGTCAGTCATGTTTGAGCGACTATATATTCTTCCTTTGTCTTCAAGAATAGCTACAATAACATTGACTTATAGCCCAAATGTACCTAGTCATCCAAATGTCAACCAGTGTGCCTCCATCACTCTAGTGTCCGTCCTGGAAAATGGTCTGATCATTTTTTATTTTACTTCCTCCTCCCCTCCATTTATCGGCTTCATTTGAATGACTTCAAATTAACATTCATTAAGTCAAATGAATGACTTTGAAATTAACACAAGAGTTTAGATTCCCCAGTTCAACCCCTGGTGTACCCTAGAATAAGACTTCCATATAACTCTTCATCTCTTATGCTTGTTGCTACTGGATACTTTGTATAAGATCCTTGTCTAGTTCTGGGACCTGGACCCTACTAAGTACTGGCCCCCTTCACTGTTAGTGCCCTGGCCAATTTTGCTTCATGAAGATACTATAGATTCTGCCACTGGGAATGTTAGAAGATGTTGTGGTTCCTCATGATGAGTCACTAAGCACACAGCACTAATAACCAGAAGTCACTAGCCGGAGTTATGAGCGCTGAAGTCTAACCCCTGCTAGGAATCAAAAACAAAAAACAAACAACAAAAAAAAGTAGAGGACCTATGACATTTGTCAATATCCAGGTCAAAAAGCTTGGCACTCAGTTCAGATCATAAAGTATATTGAAAATATTGTAGTAAAAACAATGTATCAATGAAAATATTTGAAATATTTTAAAGTTACACTATATGTTTGTCTTTGCTTATTCATTTATGTTGAGAAGTTACCCAGTGCAGACCAAACCTCCCTGCTTACAGCTGCAAAACTAATGCCAGATTCTACACTTTTTAACAAGTAGAGCTATGTCCGTGAAAGCCTGCATTAGTAATTTCTCAGGAATTGAGAGTATCTGAACCCAGAGCTCGAGAGGTCAATAGCTAGAGGTGAAAAAGGCTGGGACAAGTAGGCTGACAATGATTTGGGCTAAATAGCCAGTTCAGTAAATGCTTTGTTTGCAGGAATGACCAAGGCTGAGGTCCGTGGTACCATAGCTACCATCTACAGTAGGTGAGCTGAAAGAGGAGAAAAAATCGTAATTAAAAAAAAAAAAAATCTTACTGTGTACGGCAAGGCATTTTGAGTCTCTTCAGTGCATTATACAGATTCATGAAATGAAGTACTCTTAGTTGTTTTTTGTTGTTTTTTTTTTTTTTAACTGCAGGGGTCATGCCAAGTTCTCTCTTATCACTCTTTTTCATTCAATAACCCTCCAGGGAAGATTGCAAGACTTCAGACTTCATTTCTAATAACACATAGACAACACTCAGCTTCACATTTTCTTGCATTCAAATACCAATTTCACAAGGTTTTAATTTTCTTAGGTCTGTTTAGCACATTTAAATGCAGATATAGAGTAACAGAATTACTATAGCCTCAAATCTGTATTATTCTAACAGTATTTATTTCCTTTTAAAATAGTTAATATCTAGAGTGCCCTTGATCTTTTATTTTCTTTCCATTCTAAATTATTACTTCCAATCATTCCTCCATATTGTTATAGTTTCACAATTAAAAACGTTTTCAACATTAAAAATAATGTTCTAATACATGTGATAGATACCCAAGTAAGAGTATAAAAAATGTAAAATGTATTTTGTTAACATAATCTGTAATGTGTTCTGCTTAATATGTTTTCATGAGCACTTTTAAAATTGCCACTGGAAAAAAATATAAGTAGGAAATGCTCAGTTAAAGCTATTATAGCAAAATAGTCAAAAACACTGTACAATACTAGCAAAAAATTGAATGTCTTCATGCAAACAATATTTTATACTTTGTTATTAATGAGAGCACTAATATGCTCTAAGGAAACATTAAATAGATATTCAACAAAACATTTTAGCAAAATTGGAAAGCAACAATTTTTAAATTAGTCCACAGCCGAAGCTAATACACAGCACTATATAATCTGTTTATCACTATCATGATCCATTACTGTTCATTTCTCCCTAACAAAAGGACCTCTGTATACGTAGTCTATTTTTTAAATACTGTTTTAAAAAATTGCAAAACAAAAGCATTCTGACTGAATATATATTATAATATGTAATAATTTAGGGGTACTTGGGTGGCTCAGTCAGTTAATTGTCCAACTTTGGATTAGTTCATGATCTTCTGGTTCCAGAGTTCGAGCCCTGAGTCAGGCTCTGTGTTGACAGCTTGGAGCCTGCTTCAGATTCTGTGTCTCCCTCTCTCTGCCCTTTCCCTGCTCAGGTTCTGTCTCTCCCTCTGTCAAAAATAAATAAACATTAAAGACAATATAAGATAGGAAATAATGTAAACTTTTCTATTACAAATTCACTCTCCAAAAGAAAGAGTATGTATATATATTCCTATATATTATCCTAAATACTTTTGTGTACACATATATGCTTGTACATGTTTGTGTGTATAAACATATCTATTGTAATAGTATTATATATCCTGTTCTACAGTGTGATTTTTTTCACTTAATGTATTACACATAAAATTATTCATGTGAGTATGTATGGACGTTGAGGACTGTTACTCTGTTTCAATGCATAATATTTTAGATATTACCTCCAATGTGTGGATTGTAAAAATTTTCTGTATTCCAAAGGTTTTTTCATTTTGTTAACTTTTTTCCATGTAGACACTTTTATGTTTGATGTAATCTCAATGGTTGCTTTTGCTTTTGTTGTACTTTTGGTGTCCTATTCAAAAAATCACCTGGACCAATGTTGAGAAGCTTCTCTGTTTTCTTCTAGGAGTTTTATTTTAGGTGGTCTAATGTTCAAGTTTTTTATCCATGTGACTTAATTTTTATGAGAAGTATTACACACAGGACCCCAATTTTATTACTTTTTTAATTTTGTGAGCAGTGTTATAGGTGCCCAATTTTATTACTCTACATGTAATACTCTGCATTTATCCAGTTTTCCCAGCACCAATTATTCTTTCTTCATTAGATATTCTTGACTCCCTTCTTAAATATTCGTTGATCATATAGGAATGGTTTAATTCTAGACTTTCTACACTGTTTCACTGATCTATGTGTTTATTTTTATGTCACTGCCATACTGTGGGGGTGTTGTTGTTTTTTAGGTTTATTTATTTAGAGAGAGTGCAAATGGGGGAGGGGCAGAATGAAAGGGAGAGAATTCCAAGCAGGCTCTGCTCCAATAGCACGGAGCCCAATGTGGAGCTCCAACTCATGAACCATGAGATCATGACCCGAGCTGAAACCAAGAGCCATGCTTACCAGACTGGGCTACCAGGCACCCCAATACTGTTTCTATTACTATAGTTTTGTAGTATACTTTGAAATTGGGAAGTGGGATACTTCCAACTCTGTTCTTTCTCGGGATTGCTTTGCCTACTCAAGGTCTTTTAAGGCTCCATGAAACTTCAGGATTTTACTATTTCTGTGAAGAATGTCGTTCAAACTTTGGTAGGAATTGGATTAAATCTAGGGGTGGCTTTTTGTAGTATGGAATTTTAACTATCAATTTTTCCAATCCATGATGTTTTTACATTTGTTTTTGTTATCTTCAACTTCTTTTAGCAATCTTATAGTTTCATTGTACAGATCTTTCACTCCCTTGGTTAAATGTATTCCTATGTATTTTAGTGGGTTTGATCATATTGTAAATGACTTTTATTTATTTTTTATTAGTGTATACAAATGCAACTGATCTCTTTATGATTTTATATCCTGTACCTTTACTGAAATTGTTAGTTTCAACAGCTTTTGATTGAATTTTTGGGATTTTTGTATGTACAAAACTATATAACCTTCAAATAATGACAGTTTTATTTATTTCCAATTTAGAGGTATTTTATTTCTTTGTCTTACTTAATTGTTCTAGCTAGGTCTTCCCAAGCTATAATGTATAAGAGTAGTGACAGTAGATATTGTGTCTTACCCCTGATCTTAGAGGAAAGCTTTCAATCTTTCTTTGTTGACTATAATGTTAGTTGAAGGTTTCATGTATATGGCCTTTGTTATCTTGAAGTATATTCTTTTTATACCCAATTTGTTGAGAGTTTATATGAAAGGATGTTATTTTGCAAATGCTTTATCTGCATCTATTGCAATCATATGATGTTTTTCTTTCATTCTATTAATGTGATGCATTGCATCAATTGATTTGCATGTGTTGAACCATCCCAGGAGTAAAACCCACTTGGTCATAACATATAATCTCTTTAGTGCATTTTTGAATTCAATTTGCTAACATTTTATTAAGAATTTCTGCCTGTATATTCATCAAGGGTATTAGTCAATATTAGTCTCTTTCTTGTAGTATTATATCTGGATTTGTTATCAGGGTAATGCTGGCCTCATGAGCTTGGAAGTGTTCCCTTCTCTTCAGTTTTTTGGAAGCATAAGGATTAGGGAGCTTGTTTGTTTCTGAGAGAGAGAGAAAGAGAGAGAGAGCAAGCACCCAAGTCAGGGAGGAGCAGAGGAAGTGATAGAAAGAATCTTAAGCTCCATGCCCAGAGTGGAGCTGATGTGGGGCTCAATCTCATGACTGTGAGATCATAACCTGAGCCAAAATCAAGAGTTGAAGGCTTATTTGGGTAGTATTAATTCTTAAACATTTGGTAAAATTTGCAAGTGAAGCTGCCTTGTCCCGGAATTTTCTGCATTGGGAGGTTTTTGATTACTGACTCACTGTCTTTTCTTGCTACTGGTCTGTTCAGATTTTCTATTTCTCCCTGATTTATTCTTTTTTTAATTTTTATTTTTTTTACATATGCAATTTATTGTCAAATTGGTTTCCATACAACACCCAGTGCTCATCCCAAAAGGTGCCCTCCTCAATACCCATCACCCACCCTCCCCTCCTTCCCACCCCCCATCAACTCTCAGTTTGTTCTCAGTTTTTAAGAGTCTCTTGTGGTTTGGCTCCCTCGCTGTCTAACCTCTTTTTTTCTTCTTCCCCTCCCCCATGGACTTCTGCCAAGTTTCTCAGGATCCACATAAGAATGAAAACATATGGTATCTGTCTTTCTCTGTATGACTTGTTTCACTTAGCATAACACTCTCCAGTTCCATCCACGTTGCTACAAAAGGCCATATTTCATTCTTTCTCATTGCCACATAGTATTCCACTGTGTATATAAACCACAATTTCTTTATCCATTCATCAGTGGATGGACATTTAGGCTCTTTCCATAATTAGGCTATTGTTGAAAGTGCTGCTATAAACATTGGGGTACAAGTGCTCCTATGCATCAGCACTCCTGTATCCCTTGAGTAAATTCCTAGCAGTGCTATTGCTGAATCATAGGGTAGGTCTATTTTTAATTTGAGGAACCTTCACACTGTTTTCCAGGGCGACCACACCAGTTTGCATTCCCACCAACAGTGCAAGAGGGTTCCCGTTTCTCCACATCCTCGCCAGCATCTAGAGTCTCCTGATTTGTTCATTTTGTCCACTCTGACTGGCGTGAGGTGATATCTGAGTGTGGTTTTGATATGTATTTCCCTGATGAGGAACAACGTTGAGATCTTTTCATGTGCCTGTTGGCCATCTGGATGTCTTCTTTAGAGAAGTGTCTATTCATGTTTTCTTCCCATTTCTTCACTAGATTATTTGTTTTTCAGGTGTAGAGTTTGGTGAGTTCTTTATAGATTTTGGATACTAGCCCTTTGTCCGATATGTCATTTGCAAATATCTTGTCCCATTCCGTTGGCTGCCTTTTAGTTTTGTTGATTGCTTCCTTTGCTGTGCAGAAGCTTTTTATCTTCATGAGGTCCCAATAGTTCATTTTTGCTTTTAATTCCCTTGCCTTTGAAGATGTGTCAAGTAAGAAATTGCTGCGCTGAGGTTAAAGAGGTCTTTTCCTGCTTTCTCCTCTAAGGTTTTGATGGTTTCCTGTCTCACATTCAGGTCCTTTATCCATTTTGAGTTTACTTTTGTGAATGGTGTAAGAGTGGTCTAGTTTCATTCTTCTGCATGTTGCTGTCCAGTTCTCCCAGCACCATTTGTTAAAGAGACTGTCTTTTTTCCATTGGATATTCTTTCCTGCTTTGTCAAAGATTAGTTGGCCATACTTTTGTGGGTCTAGTTCTGGGGTTTCTATTCTATTCCATTGGTCTATGTGTCTGTTTTTGTTCCAATACCATGCTGTCTCGATGATGACAGCTTTGTAGTAGAGGCTAAAGTCTGGGATTGTGATGCCTCCTGCTTTGGTCTTCTTCTTCAAAATTACTTTGGCTATTCAGGGCCTTTTGTGGTTCCATACAAATTTTAGGATTGCTTGTTCTAGCTTCGAGAAGAATGCTGGTGCAATTTTGATTGGAATTGTATTGAATGTGTAGATAGCTTTGGGTAGTATTGACATTTTAACAATATTTATTTTTCCAATACATGAGCACAGAATGTTTTTCCATTTCTTTGTGTCTTCTTCAGTTTCCTTCATAAGCTTTGTATAGTTTTTAGCATACAGATATTTTACATCTTTGGTTAGGTTTATTCCTAGGTATTTTATGCTCCTTGGTGCAATTGTGAATGGAATCAGTTTCTTTCTTTCTGTTGCTTCATTATTAGTTTATAAGAATGCAATTGATTTCTGTATGTTGATTTTGTATCCTCAACTTTGCTGAATTCATGTATCAGTTCTAGCAGACGTTTGGTGGAGTCTATCGGGATTTCCACGTATAATATCATGTCATCTGCAAAAAGTGAAAGCTTGACTTCATCTTTGCCAATTTTGATGCCTTTGATTTCCTTTTGTTGTCTGATTGCTGATGCTAGCACTTCCAACACTATGTTAAACAACAGTGGTGAGAGTGGACATCCCTGTCATGTTCCTGATCAGGGAGAAAGCTCTTAGTTTTTCACCATTGAAGATGATATTAGCTCTGGGCTTTTCATGAATGACTTTTATGATGTTTAAGTATGTTCCTTCTATCCCGACTTTCTCAAGGGTTTTTATTAAGAAAGAATGCTGAATTTTGTCAAATGCTTTTTCTGCATCGATTGACAGGATCATATGGTTCTTATCTTTCCTTTTATTAATGTGATGTATCGCATTGATTGATTTGTGAATGTTGAACCAGCCCTGCAGCCCAGGAATGAATCCCACTTGATCATGGTGAATAATTCTTTTTATATGCTGTTGAATTTGATTTGCTAGTATCTTATTGAGAATTTTTGCATCCATATTCATCAGGGATATTGGCCTGTAGTTCTCTTTTTTTACTGGGTCTCTGTCTGGTTTAGGAATCAAAGTAATACTGGCTTCATAGAATGAGT